TTTTGAGTTCTTTCTTAATGTGGTGGAACTAATACTTTTATGTTTAAGCTAGTTATTCATGACATCCTTTAATGACCTAGGTTTTCATGACATTCTGTTCATCTGCAGATAGAATGATTTAAGTCAGAACAAGATTTGCTAACAACAGTCATTCTTAGATATCACTTGTGTTTATCTTTGTGTTTTCCATTGACCTTGTAGCAAATCTTGCTAAAATGACAGAATGCTGTTTGTTAATATATATATGAGGCCTCTCGAGACAGAGTTCAACATCAGTGTGGAGAGACAGTGACAGAGAGAAGCAGAGGCACAGAGACAGGCCAGGTTCTCTGTGTTTCCTGTTGTTGCAATAAAACTCAGCTGATCATCTCACCGAGTACCTTCATTCTTGGACCACGTGTTTCTGTCTTTGTTAAATAAATATTACCATAACATTAAAATACCTCATGCTTGTACTTATGTGTGTAGGATATGTGCTCCTATTAGTTAAAAGACATGTAGCAGCATTTTGTAACAGAGGAAGCACAGATAACTGTATAAAGTGAATTACAGTAATTCATCCAAAAGGTTTAGCCTCAGCAGAAARAAGCTTGATTTACAGACTTCTCTGATTTGACTATCAAACTTAAAACCAGCGCCAACTTTGACCCCTAGGTGTGTGTTGGCCAAATTTCACTGATGAGAAAACTACTCAAGTAAAAGTCATAAAACTGTTCACAAAAATTGGGAAAGTAAAAGTAAAGGTAATTTTACACACTCTCTAAGAAATAAACTGATGAATTTACTGAACCAAACTGGTTCCACTAAGCCAGGTTGTGTAAACTGAGCAACATATGTATATTATTTGCTCAGTTTACTCGTATAAGCTTAGTGGAGCCAGTTGACATGACTTTGTTGAGTAAATTTAACACTTCTGCTCTTTTTAGAGTGCAGAAACATATTTAACGATGAGTTCAAACAGATTTAATTTTGTAATGAGTAACTAGGTGTTACATTTTAAAATAAATAAGTAAAAGTAGCTATTAAAAATAATTAGTAAAATTACAAATCCCCCAAAAAACTACTTAAATACTGCAATGAAATAAATGTACTTGGTTACTATAAAACTCTGCATATGAAGTTGTATGAATTTTCCATTTCGTAGGTATACAAACATGTAGGACAATCATATTTTTTCAAATCTCATTGATTTTTTTCAAAAACTCAGCTTCGAATTTATTTTATGTCTCAAAGCAAACAGGAGCAATAGCAACTGGACAACATTCTGGCAGCTTAGTGATATCTACACAGTTTTCTTTCCTTGGCCAACACACACGTAGGGGTCAAAGCTAACCCTGATTTTAAGCTTGACAGTCAAATCAGAGAAGTCTGTAAATCAGGCTTCTTTCTGCTGAGGCTAAACCTTTGTGTCATCACTTGGATAAAACAGAGCCTTTTCATAAT